ACCCCCCTGGGGGGCGCGCCCTGATGCGCAGCGCGGACTGGGCGAAGCTTGGCAATGGCGAAAGACGAGAAGAATCGATTGACACAGCGTGCTGTTGATACGTTCGGGGGATTCCAGGATTTCTAACAGCCTTCGCGCGGGGTGCACTTTGCGTCGAGCATTGTCTCCGCTGGCTGGCGCCGCTGGTCGGCCACCCACTCGCCGTCGAGTGGTCGCCCGTAGGGGGCCATTCGGCACTTTCTGATCCCCCTTCTCACTGCCGAGCACGGGGGGGGACGGTGGCGCGCCGTCCCGTCGCCCGCCGACGCGCGCCGCGCGCCTCGGCGGATTTCCAATGTCCTGGCAAGGCAAAACACGCGCGACTCTGGACATTTCCCCATGGGGCACATATGACAAATCCGGATACGTTTTGTTGAACATGTTCGGCCTACTTCTTGAACAAATTCGGGGGCCCATGTTGAAACATTCCGGATTCCCGGATTCCCAACCCAGAAATAATTTCTGGGCGGTCCGACGGGCGCGGCAGGCTGATTCACGCACCGCGCCGCGCGCGATTGGGCGCAGCGCGCGCCGCGCGTTGCGCCCGCGAACAGCACTCGCACGGGCGACCTCGAAAACGGCGCCGCGGCAGCTGCGACTCGCGGGCCCCCCAAGAGCAACGCAGCACGCAGCTTGGAATCTCCGAGGGCGCTCCGACGCGCGAGAGATGCACCGCGCACATTGCGCGAATAATCTGCGCGACGGAACGCGCTCGACCATTCGCCCCTGGGGCCCGCGCGGAAGAACAGGACAACCTGGAAACCTTGAATACTTCAAATGGCAATACTCCATGCTTCTCTGAGCTTTGGCAGCGCGATGGCGGCTTTCACGCCCCAACATTGAAGCGAAAACAGAAACGCACCGTGCAACTGAAAAAGGGCAGTCTGCAGTCTGCGCATTTGGGAAACAGGCTTGGCCAACGCCGAAGTGCATTCGACCCCCCCGGCTCCACGCGCGGGCCCCCGCGAGCGCGAGCAGACGCCGCGAGCTCGCCCAAACCAAGTGTCCACATCGCTGGGGCGGAGGTTCCAATTCCCCCGCATATGTCACGCTGCAGACGTCACTGGGTAGAGCGAGACGGCAAAACACAATGATCGAGAGACACCGTACTTTCCCGCCGTTATTTCGCGGCGCCAAGGGAATTTATTGAAGACGAGCAGTGCTGGGCTCCTGCACCGCTTGGAAGCTCGACGACGCGACGTCTCCACCACTGGACTCCAACGGGCCGTCCCCAGTCACGTCCGCGAAGTCGCCCATCAGCTCGTAGCCCCTTTGACGAAACCACCCGGCAGCCGGCGCTCACAAACCTCTGCACTCGATCTTGTACTCCTGCACTCGCAGCGCCTGCGGCAAACCGACGTCCGCTGCGTCGTGCTGCAACCGCTCCGTCAACGTCTGCACCAATGACCACTGAAACGACTTGGCCGTCATGAAGGCGACCTCCCCACCCAGCGCGCGCAGGGGCCCCGCCGCGTGGATCGGCGCCGCGCCCTGGCCGCGTGACTTGCCCCGCTGCACTCCGAAAGAGAATGGGGATCCTGGGGCGCGGGGGCAAAGCCCAGCTGAAGAGGATGGGGGGAATTCTCCACGCGGTGTTTCTGTTAGGGCCCGCTCGCCCCCCCCTCCGCCTCTGCGGCAACTGTCCGCCGGGGGGCGTCTCGACAGGCGCTGGGTTCCGTCCGGGCCTCCTTCCCGTGGCCTCGAGGCTGAACCAGACGACGAGCCCGCAGCTCCTCGAGGTTGGGGGGCGCAGCGCCACGGCGAGCGATCAGCGCGACCAGCGGCGCTGGCGGCAGCCCCAGCGGCCTCTGGAGGGGAACGCCTCCTTCAGGAGGAGGCGGAGGGGTCCTCCTCGTCCCCCTCCTCCTCCTCCTCCTCCTCCTCCTCCTCCTCCTCCTCCTCCTCCTCCTCCTCCCCCTCCTCCTCCTCCTCCTCCTCCTCCTCCTCCTCCTCCTCCTCCTCCTCCACCTGCGTGTGAGTTGCGGGCGACGAATCTCGCGCCCGCCGCCGCGCGACCCCTCTGGAGCCAGGGTCCGCGCCTACCTGGCGAGGCGCGAGGGGAGGAGAAAAAAAACAAAAAACATAAGGGGAAACAAAAACAAACGGCAGGCTCACCACGCAAGTCGTGATGAGCACCGCCGACCCGCCGAAAGCGGGCGGCCCCCATGCCTCCCTGGCTCTACAAGGGACACCAATTTCCCCACGTCGCCGCGCGGGTCACACGGCGCGTGTTTCCGCGCCTGGGTAACCTGGCCAGCCCCCACAGTCCCTCTTGCCCAAAGGGGGGCAAGCGGTGCACGTCTTGAGTCGTGCCCGCTGGCCGACCTCCCCAACCACACCCTTGCCCAGCGACGTCACGGAAGGCCAGTACAGTGGCCGGGGCCTGCACCCAAAAGGGCAACTACCACGCATGCCGACGCGGACCGAAATCTACGCCGACCCAAGGGGGTACCCTCGCGGCCCCAGAACGCCAAGTACCCGAGGGACCTGGGACGGCAGACCCGCACCACAGCAGGGTCACCGCTAGAGTTTGGGGGGGCCGCCCCAGGCTCGTTCGGACACGGATGCCCCTGGCCCGCCGCGCCGCCCCCATGCTGGCGACATTTTGGCGAATTTCAGTTCCCCCAGGAAACCCGATGCGCCGCCCACGCATCGAGGTCCCCCCCTGGGGGCTCCTCCTCCTCCCCCTCCTCCGCCTCCTTCTCCTCATCATCATCCTTCTCTTGCTCCTCCTCATCCTCCTTCTCTTCCTCCTGCAAGCCACCTTGACCTTCCCCGAGTACGTCCTCCCCCTTCAATACCCAGCCTATTTGCCAAGGCTGCTCCGGCGGTGCATCGGCGAGGCTGGCGTGGAGAAAATCGGACCCCATACCGATCGCCGATGCATCCGCGATGCGGCGCGATATTTCGACTCTGTCTACTCCAACCCCATCGAAGAGACCAAGAGATCTGGGAACGATGGGAACACACCATGGTTACTCAATGAAGAGTGAGCCGTGCGCAACAGCCGAAAATACGAGGGAAGAGACGGAGAGACCTGCAGCCACCCCCCTGCCCGAGGCACTCATGGTGCGCGCGCGCGGAACGAGCACGAACGCACAATCCTCTTCCTGGGGCAGAGGCATTGTCGCTGTCGTCGCTGTCGTCGTCGTCGGAGAGGCAGTGCGCGAGGGGTTGCGCAGATGAGCAGGATTGTCTCCCGCATCCTTTGTTCGAATGCTGACAATGCTCTCGCGGTCTCTGCGGACAGAGCTCTACCGCCCTGCTGCTGCTCCTCCTCCTCCTCTTCCTCCTCCTCCTCCTCCTCCTCCTCCTCCTCATATTGCTGTCGTTGCCGTCGTCGCCGTTCTGGCACGTACCCTAAGGCGCTGCAGAGTTCGGATGTCCTCGAGGCAGCCCTACACGCCGTGCTGGAGAGCAGCGCGGACCTGAGGGAACGCCGCCTTGACCGCGTGCTGTGGGATCGGCGCAGGGATCTGTACCAAAGTTGTCGCCGTGGTCCTCCTCCTCCTCCTCCTCCTCCTCCTTGTCTTCGTCCTCTTCCCTCGTCCTTTTTGTTAATCCTCTTCCCTCGTCCTCCTCCTGCTCATCCTCCTCCTCCTCCCTGCCTTCATGAAGACATTCTTATAACGTGAGCTCTGGACTAAAAACTGGACGGGCGAGTAGAGGCACCTTCTCAGTGTACCCGCCCGTCCACTTAATTTCCCCCGAAGGCTGCCTAAGGCAAGATTTGCCAGGTTGGTTCTAGCAGCAAAGACCTCCCCGCCTTCCTACTCTGCCCCCACCTGGGCCGCCAAGCTCGGCGCACCGCGCCCCGCGGTGCGCGACCAGCTCATCGACTCCCGTGCCTCGCGCCGCCCCCTCTCGCGGCGACGACGGGCCGCCGCGCGGGCCCCGGGGGGGCCGCGGCGCGCGGAGCGCGCCCAGGAGCAGGAGGAGGAGGAGGAGGAGGAGAAGGAGGAAGAAGAGCAGGAGGAGGAGGAGGAGGAGGAGGAGCAGGAGGAGGAGGAGGAGGAGGACGAGGAAGAGTACGAGGAGGAGGAGGAGGAGGAAGAAGAGCAGGAGGAGGAGGAGGAAGAGGAGCAGGGTTGCGCCCCCGCGGGGGGCCTGGCCCTCCGGCTCGACCTGCCACGTCAGACTGAGCCAGGACGAGGATAACTGAAGGGGCCATGGGACGCACAGCTGAATAGACACAAGTAACTGGATCCGTCCACATGTTCATATACCTTCTGGGTTTCTGTCTCCTCCCCCACTTCCCATATGATCGCATATGTTCCTGGGATTCGACGATTAATTGTGTCTGTGTGCCGTTTCCCCTCCTGGATCACATCGGGTGAGGAGAAATCGGAAATCCCTGAGAGCAGCAAGACGAAGCCAGGACACGAGGATAAAATTGGGTGAGGAGCAACCGCGAAACTCTGAGATCTGGCGGCTCTGGACGATGTTCTGGGAGCCGCGGCCTTCTCGGAGCGTTCCAGAGAACGCTGCGAGAGCGTTCTGGAAGGCTCTGGAGCGGGTTTCTCCTCGTCCTAGCCCGTCCGACACAGCGCCCCGACCCACATGGGCCGGACGAAAGGGGGATAGTAGAGGGTAACGTGGAGAATAGGCTCACGCGGCTGATCATCCCAGCTCCTCCCGGCGCCGGGCGGCATTCTTGAATCGAGGAATGGGCCTGGCGGCAGGGCGAAATTCACCAGCATACAACAGATTTCGCACCCCTCCCCTTTCCTATCCTACTGCAGGCTCGTGTCGTGCCGACTTCCGCGCTGGCTTCCGATACCGCGGGGAGCGTTCAACCTTGAACGATCGGCCGGTTCCGAAACGTCAGATCTTTCAACATCCACCGATTATGGTTGGCTGGCGGCGTTCAACGTTGAACGCTGGCGGCGGGGTCGCCGCCGGCGGTCGACACGGCGCGAACTTACCGTACCCTTTCGTCTGGTCCGACCCACCAATCCCACCGTGGGGCGGATGCAACAGCATGTCGGCGATCCAGACGGAGCTGCGCACGATGTCGACGTCGATGGACTCCGCCTCGATCTGCACACGGAGGCGCGCGGCCTCGGGGCTTCGGCGGCGGTCCCTGCCCCTCCCCGCGCTCGTGCCCCTGCCCCCCTCTCTGGCCCTCGTGCCCTCCCTTCCCCTCCCTTCCCCCGCCCTCTCGTCTCCTCCGCTCGGCTCTCTCTCCCCCCGGTGCCCGCCTCCCTGCTCCTCCCGCTCTCTTCCCTGCCCCGTCAGGGCGCGCCCGTGCGCGCACGCACGGCCCCCGTCGGCCGCGACGCGCCAGACGAGTCTCGGGACAGCTTCGGGTAGATACGACGCCAAGGTGCGCACTGACGCCTTCATAAGGCATCGGAGCCCTGCTCGCAGTCCAGGCCAACCCCTCACCTCTCCTCCCCCTTCTGCCCCCGCATCCAGAGCCTCCTCTCTCTCATGCGCACGCCCACTCGCGTCCCTCACGCGCCCCTGTCCTCCCTCTCCATCTGCCCCCCGCCCCCCCTCCCACTGGCCACAATGCAGCCACCAGCGCCACCCAAGCAGAACAGGCGGAGGCGATCGCAGCAGCTTGTGCGGCAAGGAACTGGGCCGCGCGCCAGCCAGGGAACTCGACCACTCCGACGCTGAACCCTCCCGCCTCTTCCCGCTTCCCCCCCCCCTTCCTCATCCTCCTCCTCCTCGCCCACGGCCTTGCCTTTCCCGCCTGGCCCCGCTTGCGGCACGTGCGTCTCCCCTGATACTGAAGGGGGCCTGGGACATACAAATAAATAGACACAAATAACCGCATGCCGCTGGGGGGCCCCACCGCGGACCCACGAAGTCCGCGCGGAGCGCCAAAGTGCATGTTCACGCCTTTTTTCCCCAACCATCCTGTAATGTTGGGACCTTGATTTGAAGAGACAGCGCCCCACGTTCCTTCATCCTCCCCCTCTTCCCTCCTCTCATCATCATGATCATGATCACGATCACGATCCTGATCCTGATCTTGATCCTGATCCTGATCCTGATCCTGATCCTGATCCTGAGCATCATCATCATCATCATCATCATCATCATCATCATCACCATCATCATCATCATCATCGTCATCATCATCATCATCAACAGCAGCATCATCATCAGCATCAGCATCAGCATCATTATCAGCATCAGCATCAGCATCCGCATCCGCATCCGCATCCGCATCAGCAGCATCATCCTCATCCTCATCCTCATCATCATCATCACCAACATAATCATCATCATAATCATAATCATAATCATAATCATAATCAGAATCATCATCATCATCATCATCATCATCATCATCATCAGTATCATCATCATCACCACCATCGCAACCAGTATAGCGTTCCGTGGCCCCGTAGGGAGCACATGCGTCCGCCACACCCAGTACAGCGTTTCGCGGCCCCATGGGGAGCTCCACCGAAGGCCCAAGTGGAGGTGGCCAGATGCGTACGCCACACCCAGTACAGCGCATCGTGGCACCATAGGGAGCTCCACGTAGGTCTCCAAAGTGGGCGGCCACATGCGTCCGCCACACCCAGTACAGCGTTTAGTGGCCTCATAGGGAGCTCCTCCTAAGGCCCCAATGGGAGGGCCACATGCGTCCGCCAGACCCAGTACACCGTTTCGTGGCCCCATAGGGAGCTCGACCTAAGGCCCCAGTGGGGGTGGCCAGATGCGCCCGTCACACCCAGTACAGCTCTTCGTGAACCCGTAGGGAGCTCCACCCAAGGCCCCAATGGGGGTGGCCACATGCGTCCGCCAGACCCATTGCAGCGCATCGTGGCCGCGTAGGGAGCTCCACAGAAAGACCCCAGTGGCACCGCCCGCATGCGTCGTCCACCACCCAGTGCAGCAGTTCGCGGCCCCATCGATTGGGAGCTCCACCAAACCCCAGTGGCACCGCCCGCATGCGTCCCCCCCCACCCGGTACAGCGCTTCGTGGCCCATAGGGAGCTTCACATAAGGAACCAGTGGCACCGCCCGCATGCATCCCCCCCTCCCGTGGCCCCATAGGGAGCTCCACCGAAAGTCCCAGTGGCACCGCCCGCATGAGTCGGCCACCATCCAGTGCCGCGTTTAGTGGCCCCGTAGGGAGCTCCACAGAAAGACCCCAGCGGCACCGCCCGCATGCGTTTCCCCCAACCAGTACAGCGTGTCGTGGCCTCATCGGGAGCTCCAGTGAGGGGCACCGCCCGCATGCGTCAGCCACACCCAGGACAGCGTTTCGTGGCCCATACGGAGCCCCCCCGAAGGCCCCAATGGCACCGTCCGCATGCGTCTCCCCCACCCATTAGGGCACGTCCCTCACGCGTTTCGTGGCCCCAAAGGGAGCTCCACCGAAAACGGCACCCACAGCGCGTTACTCACAACTGCATATGGTTGGGTCTTTCGCCAGGATAATTTCTTCGATTCGGACCGCTTCCCCCGTCCCTCCCGGACCCCGAACATCTGGCGGCTCGATCTGCTCGAGACGTCGGTCCCTCCGACCTCTCGTCTCCTTCTCGCGGGGCCAGCTTTCCAGCCCCGGCAATTCTCGAAGGCACCCAGAGACTGGACCCTGCCTTCAAGCGCCGAGGTTTGGCGACAAGCGGAAGGTCCCGAGTCCCTCGAGCCGCTGGAAGTCTTGCTCCACCCCTCGTTCCTTTACAGCCCCTCGCTCCTCTGCGTCCCCCGTGGTTCCGCCATCACCTCTCCCTGATCGCGAGCCCCTACTCCTGCATCCCCCTTTCCCTCCTCCTCATCATCACTTCCTCCCCCGTGTCCATCCGCCTCCCAATGATACGTTTCCTCCCCTTGCTCATGATTCGTCCACATCATCAGAATCATCAGCATCATAATCAGCAACATCGTCATCAGCATCATCAGCATCATCAGCATTATCATCATCGTCATAAGCATCATCGTCTTCATCGTCATCATCATGATGCTCGTCCTCAGCCTCATCCTGACCCTCATCCTCCTCCTCATCCTCATCATAATCACCATCATCATCGTCATCGGCATTATCATCGCCGTCATCATCATCATCATCGTCATCATCATCGTCGTCATCGTCATCATCATCATAAATTCCTCTTTCTTATAAATAACTTCTGTCGCACCACGAAGATTATTGGTAGGGCGGACAGGGCGTGTCGCCTGAGCCTCCCGCACCATGTATGATCCTGAAGCTTAAAAAGGCAACAGCTTCACAGATGGAGGGCGGGTCGTTTCCAAAATGTGGCTCTCGCGTTAGCGCCGCGCACATCCTTTTTAAAACATTGCAAGAGTTTCGCGGATTGATGGCGGCTCCTTTTCAAAGAAAAGCTCTCGCCTTAGCGCCGCGCGCATTCTTTCAAACAAATTCCCAAAGTTTCACGCATTGGGGGCGGGTCGTTTTCAAAATGTGGCTCTCGCCCTAGCGCCGCGCACATTCGCTTTAAACATGTGCGTGGGCTTCACGGAGTGAGGGCGGTTCCTTTTTCAAAATGTGGCCACGCGCATTATTCAAACAAATTTCAAGAGCTTCACGGATTGAGGGCGGGCCGTTTTCAGAATGTGGCTCTCGCCTGAACGCCGCGCACATTCGCTTCACAAATTTGCAAGAGTTTCACGCATTGACGGCAACTCATGTTCAAAATGTGGCTCCCGCCTTAGCACCGCGCACATTCGTTGTAAACATTTGGGGGGGTTGCACGGGTTCCCATGGTCAACGTACCAGAACTGGCGTTTTGGAAGGATTCAGGATTATGCGGGTGAAACAGTTATCCTGCTTCGCGGTGTTGGAATCACACAAGTGGCGTTCTGGCCCGATTCCAGATCGTCAAGACGCAGCAGTCAGGTTGATCGCAGCGTTGAAATCCCGATTTTAGCATGCTTCAGGGTCTTCAACTGTTGTCTTCAAACGAGGCAGTTCCCTCAATGGAAATGAGACGTTGTTGGGTCCTATGGAGAGGTAACTTGGAGGGAAGGACAATTCCAACATCGATGATGACTCTTGGGTTTACACTGGTCCTCATCCTCATCCTCATCCTCATCCTCCTCATCATAATCCTCATTCTCAACATCATATCTGCGTCCTGCTACTTCCTCCTCATCCTCGTACATCCGTCCTCCATCCCGCACTCCCTGCATCCCCACGTCCTTCCAACCGATTTCTCCTGCTGCTTCTCCTCCTCCTCCGTCCCCCTCCTTCTCCCTGTTCTCCCCACATGTCCTTGTCCTCCTCCCGCGTCCAACTCCCCTTCGCCATCCCGAATGTTCCTCGTCTTCCTCCTTCCCAATTCACCACCTTCCTCCTCCGTCCAATTCAGGCTCTTGCATTTTATCCTACTTCCGTGTCTGTTCCTGCACTCCCTGATGCTCCATCATGCTCCTCCTCCTCCTCGCACGTATTATCCTCCCTCCTCCTCCTCCTCCTCCTTCTCATCCTCCTCCTCATCCATTTTCTCTGATCTCTGCGACACCGCAACCAAGAGTATCAGAGCAGGTGTTAACACTCCTGGTCGCTCGATGAACACACCTCAACGCACCCTCATGAACAAACCATGCCGTCCAAATACGGGTTCGGAACGCAGGTCTAAGAAACTGCAAGGAACATGTTTTCAGGTTTCGGCGATAAACCCGGTTATCCCGCTGGGGTAGGGAAGCGCCAGCCTATAACCAGACTGTTTCGCTTTGGGCAACCCCACGGAGGCCCGCGCGCACCAGCACTGTGCACCCCCCCTGAACCTGCGCAACCGACAAGGTCAGGTTATCCGTGGGGGAGGGAAGGGAGGGGCGGGCGGGCCCGACAATTGAGTACCCCTCCTCCTCCTCCTCCTCCTCCCTCCTCCTCCTCCCTCCTCCTCCTCCTCCTCCTCCTCCTCCCCCTCCTCCCTCCTCCCTCCTCCCTCCTCCTCCTCCCTCCCCCTCCCCTCCCCCTCCTCCTCCTCCTCCTCCTCCTCCCTCCTCCTCCTCCTCCTCCTCCTGCTCATGCTCCTCCTCCTCCTCCTCCTCCTCCTCCACCTCCTCCTCCTCCTCGGGCCACTCCCGGGGCGCGTTCCGACCAGCCTCTCGGAGCGACTACGGCCACGGCGGCGCGGGGCTCCCAGGAGGCCCTCCAGTGGCGGAAACGAGACAGGGCAGCAGGATCGATGCCCTTCACTCCTCTGAGAAACACCGGGTCATCGCCGGACCCTGCAAACATCGATCTCCCGATCCGCCCCCACTGAGGATGAGTATCGTTTAACCGATCCCCATCCCCAGCGGCGTGGCCCGGGCCCCACTGGCCGATTTACCCCCCTAGATGGGGATACAGGCCGTTGCCGTCGGGTTTCGAGGGGTGTACCCCCAACTGGGGGGTAAGTTGGTGGGGGTCTCGAAGGGGATGGGGATATCGGGATGGGGATTGATTAAACGAAATACCGAGCGGAGTTCTGCGCTCCCGACGCCCGCGAGGCCGCGCTGCTGCGGCAGCGCGGGCGCCTCCCCGCCGCCGCGCGGGCCAACGAGCCGCTCGGGCGCGCGGGCCCCCGGCGGCCGCGGCCTCCCCCGAGCAGGGCAACGAGCGCGGCCGGGAGCGCAGCGTTCACCGCAGTTTCCCGGTTGGCCAGCGGCTGCCCCGACGGGTCGGTCTCTCGAACGGGCGCTCGGCGAGGACGGCTTCAACGAGGACGCCCAGGGAGGCGCCCTGTATTCGTGCGCATGTTCCAGATGTTCGTCTCCCCCTCCGTCTTCCATGGCTTCCCATATTCCCCGGGAAATCGACGGTTATTGGTGTTTGTGTCTAGGCTCCCCTCCTGATGGGACACACACAAGGCTACCGAACTGGTCCTCGAATCATCATGGGGCCAGTTTGGTGCCTCTCGGAAACTTTCTGGAGGCCACGTTGGTCCATCTCGGTCCACCTTGCGCCACCCTTCCAGACGGACATCCGATGCCCTAGTCTTTAGAAGACCAAGACCCCAGACTCCTCGACCCCTGTCTGAACGCGGCCCCGTGGTGGCGAAAGTTGTGTGAACCCTCCGACTGTGTACGTACCTGTTGGGCTCCCAGGGGGCATCTGTAGGGCTGTCCTGGACATCCGAGAAGCCCCCGCGCTCAGCCCACCTCCTCCGCCGTGGCCTTCCACGGCCGACACCCTCCGCCGACGGCCGTGGGCGGACGAGAACGGCGTCGAACTCGAACTCGACTTCGACGGCGGCGCTGGTGTCGACAGCGCCAGGGAAGTCGACGACGGCGATGCTGGCGACGACGTCGATGTCGACGACGAAAGGACGGCGAAGACGACGCGCGCGGGCGCCTTCTCCCTGACGAGCTCCTCCGGGCGGCGGCCCGCAGGGGCCCGGCTGGACGAAAGGGGCCGGGGGCACGAACTGGGCCAATCACCCTCCACCTCCCTGCACATCACACTCATCTCTATCGGCTTCGTCGTCGTCCTCGACGTCGTCCTTCGCCCTCCGCCCTCCTCCTCCATTCCGTTTCCTTCTAAGTAGCCCCTCACTGTCGCACCCCGAAGCGTGTCGAAGGGGGCCGGACCTTTCCCCTGAGACTCTGTCGCAATGCACGATCCTGTCGCTTAAGATTTACAACATTTTCACGAATGGAAGGTGAATCGATTTCAAAATGTGGCTCTCGCCCTAACTCCGCGCACATTCGTTCGAAGCACATGTAAGAACTTCACGAATCGAGGACAGGCTGTTTTCAAAATCTCGCTCATTGCCTTAGCGCCGCGCAAATCTGTCTTCAACACTTGCAAAACATGTCGCGGCTGAAAAAACGTGTCATGTTGACAATGTGGTTCTCGCTTTAGCGCCGCGCACACCCGTCATAAAAAGATGCAGGGTTTCACTGATGGAAGGTGGTTCGTTTGAAGAGCTTTCCACAATTTTTCACATATTCTCAGGGCTCACGTCCACGGGAGAATGTTCTGGCACAATATCGGACTGTCAAGGCGCAACTACTCCGTCAATTCGTGGTGTTGAAGCCCCAAACACGGTGTCCTGTCACGATTTAGGACTTGACGAACCAGAATGGTGATTCGCCGCGTTGAACTTCCAGTAAAAAGGTGTTCTGGTACAGATCAGGACTCGTCAACGTGTTCTGTTCCAACGGGGCACTTCCTTCATTGAACATGAACCCTTGCAGCGGCCTATGAAGAGGGACATTGGAGAGAGGGTTTATTGCAATCTTGTGGTTGAATCTTCGTTCTGCACTGGGTCTCCTCCTCTCCTCCTCCGGCTCCTCCTCCTCATCCGTCCAGACCTCCTCCTCCTCCTCCTCCTGCCCCTCCTCCCAGACCTCCTCCTCCTCCTCCTCCTCTTCATCCTCTTCCCAGAGCTCCTCCTCCTTCTCTTCCTCCTCCTCGTCCTCCTCCTCCTCGTCCTCCTCCTCCTGCTCCTCCTCCTCTCAACCCCCTTGAAAAATGTCGGCGATCGGGGGCACGGACAGGGCCACTCGCCCGCCCCACCTCCTTCTCGAATACAACCAGTGATGGGCGTGTTTTCCACCACCACCACCATAAATTGGAGGGGGGAGGGGGTCCCCCTCCTCCTCCTCCTCCTCCTCCTCCTCCTCCTCCTCCTCCTCCTCCTCTTCGTCCTCCTCCTCCTCCTCCTGCTCCTCTTCGTCCTCCTCCTCCTCCTCCTGCTCCTTTTCGTCCTCCTCCTCCTCCTCCCTCCTCTCCTCCTCCTCCTCCTCCTCCCTCCTCCTGCTCCTCCTCCTCCTCCTCCTCCTCCTCCTCCTCCTCCTCCCCCTCCGTCCCCCTCCAATTTATGGTGGTGGAAAACAAGCTCATCAACCAGGACTTCGGCGGCCCGGCCTCCTCACAGCATGGGCCCCTAGACCCTGGACCTCTCGATCCCTTCCGGGGAACAGCCGGGTCGGACGCAAACGGTGATCAACAACGGGGTACGAGTTCACTCGCGCAGCCGGTGTCTGACGCCTGCTGGCACCAGAGGCGTCAACGTATTGGGAAGCGGGGCCGAAACCAGCTGCATGCGGCAGTTGTCGTAATCCCATTGTTCCCTACCCCCCCCCTCCGCCCGACCCCAAAGCGGGTGGCGCGAGAGGGCGGCCCTGCGTAGACGCCAGGGAGTTCCGCTCCTAAGGCTTTCTCGGAAAGCCGCCGAAACCCTGTCAGAACAACCCTGCCTTCTTAGTAAACAAGCTCCCTTGCATCACCCCTTTGTGCGCGCCGTCACCTTTTGCGCGACCTTTCGGGCAACAATATCGGGTTCGACTCGTATCGTTTTGGGGTGGCCCCGATGCCAAGGCGGTCGCCGCCGTGAGCCTGCTGGAAAATCTGAATGGCGAGATGATCGTGATTCAGTTGCCTCTGCGCTGGGGCAGAGCTGCAGTGCCCCTTTGACTGCAACGGTTTGGAAATGCGAGCGCCCCTGGGGGGGGGGGGCCAAAATGCGGATGGACAACGGGGGCAATCAACGCCCCAGCTTCAGACGCAAGGGATGTGAACAACACAGACGCACACGATGCCCAGCCACAAATGTCGTCTCGAATCGACAGCGGCATGTTGGGGGCGGGCGTGCGTCGATGTCAACAAGAGGGCGACCACGACGATCCCGACGCCGAGCCTTGTCCTAAACGGACTAGAACTGCAGTGGACGGCCACACCTGCTATAATAATCTCCATTTAGAAACGTGAAAAGGGGACGACGCACAATGCATCTAGTTATGCGCACCTCTTCATAATCTGTCTCGTTCTCTCCTCCTCCTCCCCCTCCTCCTCCTTATTGGCCAGACATGCGTAAAAGAGATTGCTGCGTCGAAAAAAGTGGACTAGCGAGACACCCAAATGCGGACTACGCGGAGCAGTATGTTCGACGAGGCACAGACAAGCAGAGAAGCCCGAGAGGGCAGAGCGCATTCTTTTGCGCAGGCAGGCTGGCGAAGCAGAGTAACAAATCAGGCGGTATCCTGCCCACCCCACTCCGATGGAATTCGCCTAGCGTCCCGCACCACCATGTCAAGGCTGGCCAAGTAGGTCTGGTTGGCCTTGTTTGGCACTGCGTTGCTCTAGCGGTCAACGCGCTCGCAGCGGTCGACGCGCGCGTCCTCCTCCGCCAACTCCAGATCCCCAGCAGCCATCCTCCAACGCCGCACCTCCCCCGCTTTGCCTATTGTGCTACGACGGTGGCAACAAGAAACGGCCTCCCGCGCCCGCAAAACCACTGGACGATCTCAACACCATTGTCTGCCTCGATGGCCACGCGCCTCATGCGACAACAAAAAGACGCCGAACGGAGCGAGGAGCGGGTTCAAAATTCAAGTTTGGAGTCCTGTGGCAGTGGCCCGCGACGGGCAGGTCCTGGGGTGAGACCCTCACTCGTCGAACTCAGCTGCCCACTCGACGAATCGAGAAGACAACGCCTGCCAGACCGTGGACCTACTAGCCAGGCGTCTCCAGTCACCAAGCGCCCTCTGCGTGCAAAAGCGGCGCATGACATCCTCGAAACGCATCCACTTGCGAGAGGGCGGCCGCACAGGACGTGCCGCACCGAGCTCATTTGCAGCTGATTGCCACGCCGCGTCGCGCCACTCTGTCGCCACCCACAGCCACTCACTCGGATCTTCGTTTGCGGCTTAGCCCGCCCAGCGCCATTTTCCTTTCAAACGTTCGGGGGCCCACTCTTTCACGGTGCAGTCACGTGCAAGACGCCGGGCTTTGCGGGTAGGTAGTCCATTGGGCCCATTTCCACCCAAGTTTCCTCTTCGGCCCTTTCGCGCCCCGCGGTGCGACAAAGCATAGTATGCTGTATTACTTTTTAAAACGTCAGAACTCTTCCGATCGCGGGGTCAATGATCCTGTCGACCATGAAACGCATTCGGCAAAAGTGGCGTCGAGTAGGGGCAGGCGCTTCTTGGCCGAAGAAGATCTCTTCAAACACAAACTATTCCTTGTCAAACAATTTCCGACACCCCGCGGCTGTGCGACTGGCTGTCTCCTCCCCCGTCGGGTCCACCAGCGACAGCGTCGCGCCTAGCAAATCGATTTCCCCTGGTGGCAACACCTCTACAAGAACAAGCTTCAGCAATTGGTAATTGTCCGCGTCGCGAGGATATGCTGCTAGTTCTTCGCACGTTGCACCTTGTCGGATGCAAAGACAAGCCCCGGCCTTGCAAAACAGACTACGTAATCATAGCCATTCTCTTCATGGGGACCCAACGCCTTGCAAGTAGTGTCAGGTTTTCAGCGAAAGCGATGCGCGCCGAGCGCTGCCCCCCGAATTCGTGCACCACGTTGGTGCCACATCCGCGTTTCTTCCACAACTCGCTTGTTTCCACCAGCGCCCGGCCAAACACAAGGTAGAAACGAATTGGGGGGAGAGGGTCGCCCTGCTCGTCGCCCGGTTCATCTCGAAATGCTGGCTGTCCGCCCCCGCACACAAAGATGCGTAGCATTTCATTCAAAAATACGGCCGCCTCAGAACAGAAGCAGTCTACGCATTGATTCCTTGCTGAGGAAGCGCTTCAAACAAAGCAGAATTAGGTCCTCTGTCGAATGTTTCTTTCATACAAATCGTTGCAACCCACAATTCCCCCCCCCATTCCAAAAATTTGCCGGCGACCATACTTGATGCGTGTACGGCATCAGCACCACCCCGGCCGGAGCGGAAACAAAACTGCTCCTTGGACAACTTTGAATCGATGACGTCGGCGACCCTGTTGTGGAGGACCGAGCTGAAGAGCTTCGCTAGAACTGGAAGGAAAGCGATCGGCCAGTAATTATTGGGCATGGCCTGGTCGCCCCTCTGTAACAACACCCACAATTTTGCGATCTTCCACTCGTCGGGTGGCGGCGCCGTTCCGGTGGCGATATCAGCGGAGAACTCAGTCATGGCAGCAACCACATCAACGTGTCCACTGTAGCCACGAAACCATAATTTGCGCCCGGTTTTCCCATTCTTGGGCTCCGTCGAAGCGAATTCCAATGCTGCTACTGTTACGCACCATATTCCAAATGCGCGGCGGGGCTGTAAGCTACCCAGGCGCATCTGCGTATAATCCTTCGCACGAAGGAGCAACAACCTTGCAAATGGACAGCTCATCAGTTTTCAGGGCCCCGCAGTTGGTATGTCCAATGTTTGGTCTAATCCTTTGGTGCCGATGTTCCACTCTGCGCAGCGCTCCAGGCCCGGCCCCTTTTCATCAACAACGACTCCAGCTCTTGCTCTTGTCGGTATCGCCCGTCTCGCCGTTGAGATCGCCAAGCCTGTTTTGACAAATCGCGCTGTCTGTCTGGACCTTGCTCTTGTTCCCGCGTTTCCAACAACTCTCCCGTAGTCGGGCAATGTGTCTGGGCCTTCCCGTCATTATTGGGTTCTCCTGATTTCGAAGGAGCCTCTACGATCAAATCCGCGGGGTCCTCGGTGCGCATCCGCCGCTGAAGGTGGTCGTCCAAAGCCTCGCGGCGCTGCGCTGGTTGCCCGTCCGTGTCAAGTGCTGGTGCCCGATGTATGTTGACCTTTTTTCCGTCGCGTTTCCTGCTTGGCCTGCCCGTGAAATAAAAAGCCTGCGGGAAATGCACGATGGTCAGACTTCCCATCTAATGCATCAATAGTTTCCCAATCTTCTTGCAATAGTAAGCCATTCCGTCAATGAAGAGATATTCGATGTCTTCTCCGCCCAGTGTTCCAAAGTCTATGCGCCCAGGCTTCGTGGAACTTTTTACAATCGAGCGTCGCGGCTACATTCAGCCTCCGTTCGCCTCGGGCGCCGCTGCGCTCGAGCGTGCGCCGCCAAATCAAGGTGAGCGGTCCACCCCCACCTCCTCCTCATCAGTGCCACAATCACCTCCACACCCCACCCGCACGCCTCAAGCACCACGTCTGGCGGCAGAGAGGAACGGCCTCCCATGTGCGATTCGGCTGAGATGTCTGTTGCGGCCCCTCCTCCCCCGCCCCCCTCGGCGACTGGAAGCAGCAAGAGAAGGCCTTCCATGCGCGCGAATCAACTGAGAGATGCCGCCCCCATGGCGTCTCGGGCGCCGTTGCGCTCGAGCGTGCGCCGACGTGATCGCGCCACTGCAAGTTGCAAAAGAAGCGCCAGACACTCGCAAAAAAACATTGTATCCCACCGCAACCTCCTCAACTCCACCTCCTACCCCTCTGACCCCCCCTCGCCCTATCTTCCCCATCTACGCCTCGGGCGCCGACACCGGTGGCAAAAAAAACGGCCTCCCATGCGCGCCCGATCACTTGACGAAAAAACCCGGCTCCAGGGCCTGCCCTGGTGGCCACGTGCCTCGCGGGCCCACCGCCAGGGCGGAGCAGATGGGCGCGGGCCGAAAACCGGGGCTACACTTGCCGCCGCTCGTCTCGAGCGCCGCTGCTCGGGGACATGCGCCACAACATCAAGGTGCTCGGTCCACAACGGGTTGCAGAGGCAACGACCGAGCGTTCGCATGAATGCCGCATTCTCCCCCGTCACCATCGGAATCCCCCACCGCCCCCTCCTGAAGAGTGACGCGCGTGCGCCGCTAAACGGGGAGTTCTTGTGCGAAGGAAGATGCGCCTTCACCGAGGGTCCTGGGGTACAATGCGAGACTCCTCCTCTGTAACATCCGCACCATCACCTCCTCCATACTGCCCTCGCAGAGGGTCCTAGACGAGTCAAACTCACGCCTGGGTCGGCCGCTGGCGGTCGACGCGCCCAATACAATAGAATGGCGGTCGGCAAGCTGGCACAGTCTGGCGTGATGAAAACGCAACACAATACAGTCTGCAATGTTTAGTGGACGACGATCTAAAACAAACAGTCTTACGCGAGATGGCGTAGTGACCATGCGCGATGGCTTACGCAGGCCGCCCGCGCGGCACGCCACATTTGAAGCAAGGGCGCTCTCACGCGCGACCTTACGCGGGCAGCTTGCGCGCCAATGTCAGCGCAACGGCCCCGTGTTTCTGGCGTTGCTTAAATGGCGATCGCGACGGGTCGGACATATAGCATACTACTGGATGCAATCATGCTGTTGTGTTACAAGCGCCTTGTGCATAGTGTCCACATATGATTCGCTGTCCAACATGGTATGACCTAGTTCCCCGACGCCCCCGTCGTTGTTAATGTGTTGCCAGGCATGATGAGGAACAAAACAAAAACGCGGGATGTGATAAGCACTTCGTGACAGTCGCAGCATGCAGCTGCCTGCAGACATGCCGCAAGCAATATTGGCTGTGCGCGAGCAGCAAAATTCAAGATTACTGGTCTTGACAAATATGTTGTTGATGCCATCGGTGAATTGCCATGCTTCGTCTTCTCGCTGCGCGTCAAAAACAGAAACCCGTCCAAACAATTGAGGTATGCGCTTCTGTTTCCTGAAGACAGATGAGTCGAACCTTAACGCCAAGATTGAATGTACTGCATGAAAAGGCGTCTTGCTGAAGCAACGGGTTTTTGCGGCCGCGTCGGGATCAATTGTCCTTCCCGCTCATGAACCACAGCAAGCCATGCCAATTTAGACAGAAGCGCCTGTGTCAACATTTCCGGTTGTGGCCACTGCGGTTGATTCGTATGTGTCTGGAAGGATGCCAGGAATCGGGTCTGAGGTATCCATTGTGTCACATCGGTCGTCGCGTGGAGTTTACAAGGGCGGAGCCGACGGAATATAATTAGAAATGTGAGGTAACCGCAACAGGGAGAACCTGTGAAAATCCACTGCTCGTTTTTGCATCTGGTGTGCCGTGCACACTGGGTATGAACTTCCATCGTGCCCACCGTTACTGTTTGGGCACAAGTGTCACGTCGGGCCTTATCGCAACGGTTCACCTTGAGAATAACAACACGTTTGGAAATCGGGCTTACGTCTTTGAGGGCAACATGTGTGCGACGAGTACTTTTCGAACGAATGCGTTCTCAATACATGTGCACTCTTGCTTGCTTCAGTATCGGGAATGCTGGGAAGAAAGTGAATGCCATAGGGAACTGGAGAGACAAACGTCGCCACCGCCAGTCTTCGACAAAGTCGGTTCGATCTCGATGGCGCGGGAGCCCACCTGAGGGTGGTGAGGACGCCACGCTGTCACTGACACGCTGAAGAGGCTTGCCTGTCAGTGGCTCTTTCTCTTCCTCCTCCTCCTCCTCCTCCTCCTCCTCACGCTCCTCCTCCTCCTCCTCCTCCTCCTCCTCCCTGCTCCTCCCGCTGCCGCTACTCCCCCCCAATGCGCACCACCACGCCCAGCCCATGCCATCCTGGGCCCCAGCGTGGTGTGTGAAACTTCCAGGCCAAGGACAAGAAGGGCCGACAGACCGTCCCCAGAAGGAGCATAGGAGACATAGGCGCAAACACTCGGAAGTCCGCGCGGTTTTCTTGGTTCTGCGCTGGACCAGGCAGCGCCAGAAACGCCGCAACGACACAACCGACCCGCCGAAATGAACAGAACCGACCGAGCGCGACCGACTGCGAGAGGGGCGTGGCGGAGAGGGGGGCGACCCTTTAAGGCGGGGGTCTCCATGGAGGGCTTGTTGGCAGCCCGCCAGACTTCGAAGAAGCCTTCTTGGAACCCCCGGGGCCTTCTTCAGAACAGAAGCCATCCCCGTGCTCGTTCGCACCGCCGACTCGGGGGGCCCGCCCCCGTGGCCTCCACATCTCCCACCGCAAGTCGCGCTGGCAGGGTGCAGCACCGCAGCCCTCGGAGGACCACGGAGGGAAAAGGAGAGTGGAGGTGGGGCCGGCACTTGACCCGTCTCCCTCCAAGGAGAGAGGTACTGTGAGAGAGGTACTATGGTACATGTGAGCCCTGCCACTGCACGTGGGTTGTCGGAGACGCCGGCCGGGGTCCAGAATTCGACGGGCGTCTGTATCCAAAAGCGAACCCTAGCGGGGGCGCCCGATACCCAAGCGCCGAATCGACCCGCAGGGGAGAGGGTTTGCACACTTCACAGGGAGGGGGAGGGACGTGGACTTGATGCTCGGTTCCTGATCCTCCCCTTTGCATCAGGTCGGGCGTGTCCTCCTACAGGCGGCTCTTGGCCGAAAAAAACAAGAGTAGCCAAAACACATTCAAAAATACTGAAAAAATCGTCCCCGATTTATGTTTCGGCTATTTTTCAAAATTTCCCCCGTGGAGGGACATGCCCGACTGAACCTTTACCAAGGCGGCCGGGGCGCGAGAGAAGCAAGGCGGGCGGCCCGGCTCCCGCAGCGGGGCCAACCGCGGGGGCTCGTGCGGCAACGGGAGTCTCAGGATCTTCTGGCTCTCTTGCGACAGCGGGCCCAACCGCGGGGGGCTGCTGCCGTCGACGACCTCCCCGAGCAGCTCGATCGTTACGGGAACCGGCTCCTGCGGCGGCGGCGGCGAAGCCGGCAGCGAACACGGCGTCCAAAAACGGCGACGGAGGCGGAGGCTGCGCAGCCGAGGACGTCAACGGCAACCGCGGCGAAAGCGATGGCAGCGATGGCAGCGATAGCGGCGACCAAGACGACGATAACGACAACGACGGTGATTAGAACAACGACCCCAAAACGGCGAGGGCGATGGCGAACGCAACGACGTTCACAACGATGGGAAAGATGGTGACGATGAATACAACGATGTCGACAAGACCGGCAACAAACACAATTCTTCCCCCAAACGTTTCAATCTGCACGGCGGAAACTGGCTGTCAAACCAAACCGGGCTCGAACAGTGAAACGGCCAGGACCCGTGCAGGAGGCCCAAAATGGAGTTCGACTAGGTGGGGTCGGAGCATCGCGCCGCATCGCCGATGCATCACCGACGCATCGGCGACAACGGCGTGGAGAAAATCTGGGTCCACACCGAGACGCATCGCCGAGGCACTGGCGATGCGTCTCAACATCGACACCATGCAGGAGGCCCGGGACCAGGGGTCTGGCGGGAAGCGGCGGCTATAGGCAAGGCAGGGGTGGCGGCGAGAGACGAGGGCAGGGCGAAGCGGGGGGGCAGGCGGCCCCAAAGCCCCGGGACGGGCAGAGGGGATCCCTGCAGGGTCTCCAGGACCCTCCACAAGGGGTGTCTTCTCGCAGCAAGAGTTATAGCTGGCTGAGGGGGGCACAGACGGTGACACCCAGGGACATCAAATGCAGTCAGTCTCTGGGTTCGGTCGGCGGGAAGGACAGAATGTCGAGTTCGGAAGCCAAGGCAAGCAAGAGTCCGAACAAAGTTCATCCGATCATGGACACTTCAAGCAAAACATGTGTGGATAGAGTTGGAAAGACTTGGACAACGTCTGAAACAAAATGAAAGCTTGGGAACAGCTTGGACAGTTTGGAAAACGTTCGAAACCAATTCGAGAGTTCAAAAGAGTCCAAACGCGGTCGAGACGCTCGGAACTATTTCGCCGCCAAATCTTATCCAAACTTCCTGGACTTCCAAAGTCTAGCACCATTGGACTTGAACTTGTAAAAAGCATTGGCCTGAAAGTGTTCCCGAACTTTGAGTTTAACATGAGGGCCGGTTGGGCCCCCTCAGCCAGTTACAAGGCATTGGATGGGCTGCGCCCCCCCGTCGACAATCTTCTTGCAACTGAGGTTCGTCGCGGCGATGGTCGCGTTCGTCAAAGAGCGTTGGCCCGGGCGGCGGCCCCCTCATCATCAATATTGTTCCAATCGCGGTGCGTTGATCGTGCCCGTCTCTGGGGCTGTGGCCAAGACTGTGGCCCCCGAATCGCACAAACATAAAAACCGTCGTGACTTTGTCGCCTACGAGAAGATGTCTGAGCCCGTGGAGGTAGCGGAGGAGGATTGATGGTCTTTTGCTCGTCCATCGGAAGGAGATGAGGAGGAGGGGGGAGGAGGGGAAGGAGAAGGAGGAGGAGGAGGAGGAGGATCGAGGGAGAGGAGGAGGCTTCAGGAGGATCGAGGATCGCAGGTCTACATTTCTGCTCGCCTGTGGCCTTCCTGGGCCTACAAGGACCCCCAAAGCCCCCAACCGCGCAGAGTCTCCCGGAACCTGAGCCTCTGGAGAACCTCTGGAGACCTCCGAGCAAGGGGGGAGGAGCGAGGACGAGGAGTCATTCCGTCATCGGCCCTTCTCGTCCCCCCGCCTCCTTTCCCATCTTGTCCAGGGCGCCCCTACCCCCTCCTCGCCTCCCAAGGCGCATGGAAGTTCAGAGCCTGCCCGGAAGCCGTGCAAAACAACCCCCATGCCTCTTGGTTCCGAACTCCGTACAGAGTCCTAACAGTCAACTCCCAACGTCCAAGACCACCCCCGAAGACCCCCCGTACGGTGCATACGATCGGGGATTGATCCACACGGAGCGGCGAAGATGAGTGAGCGGAATAATGTAACGGACATCGCCTGGCGCTGGCAACTTGCTAGTGACGGCCTGCACGGTGGAGGAGGGAGAGAAAGATGGACAGAAGAGGGAGACTCGGAACACGGGGAGGGGAAACGGCACACATTAACTACCACGCTCAGTCGACTACCCGAGACGGCACTGTAGAAGTTCCCCCTCCCCTGACCGGGCGTCCATTTTCAGCGGATCGTGCTCTCGTCGGTTCATGTTCTTCAGGGCCGTGTAGCTAGCCTTCTCAAGGCGGAAGTCCCTGGGGCCGATGGGCCCGCACTTGCCGACGGACAGCACGACAAGCCCGACAACCACCATCTCATCCGCATCCATCCTGCCTCTCCCACGCCCTCCTCACTCGCCCCTCTCCTCCCCACTCAGTCACACGCCTCCTCTGTCCACCTCCATCACAAACTCCACCTCTCCTCCTCCCCTTCCCCCCTACCCTCCTCCTCCAACGATACCGGATTTTCCCAGCAAGGGACCCATCAGTATCGCAACACCTTCCAGCCAGGCATGCCGCCTCTGACTTCTTCACATCCTACGACCCCGAAGCTTAACCACATCTCAAACAGTTCTCGGTATGGCGCCGCCCACATTCGTCCTCAAGGCTTGGAGGGAGGTCCGTCCTCTCAGAGTGTGGCCCTCGCGTCGGCGCCGCGACCACTCGTGTAAAAACTTCCGACAGTCACACGGGAGGAGGGCGGCTCATCTTCAAAATTAGGCTCTCGCTGGCAACCTCCTCAAAAGGGAATATCGTAAAGCAACTGGTGTTAGTTCGGGCGTGTCCTCCTACAGACGTATTTGGACGACAAATGAAACATTGTCCCAACAAGTACTTCTCAAACATCAAGTATTGCTTGTTACTAGCATCTGGACATCTCAGGGTCACGGAACAACACTCCCACTACGTGGGATAACGGGGGCATATGAAGTAATGTTCCCAAAAGGGTCTCCGGAAACTTTGTTTTCCTCCTCTTGTAGACGCAATCCTGTACACTAACATGCTAGTGGCCTAAACGCAATCCTGTACACTAACATGCTAGTGGCCTAACGTGGGTTGGTGAGCTTGGGACTGAGAGAAGAACGGATGGGTGCCATAACATATGTGGCTCAAGGCCAAGAGTGCTGAGGAAAAGTCACAAGTCAGTCATCCTTCCATTCGCATTCGTATCCCACGAGGATCTTGCACACTCCGCTGAGCGAAAGGCTCGCATGGTAGTGTGGGTTACTGTTCTGATCTTCGGTGTGGCCCATGGCAGCGCCCATAGTGGACACTCGTGCTCTGGGGAAGCCAAGCCCCTACAGCAACACCAAAGCGGAATGGCCTGAGTTCCAGCTCACGCTGAAGAGCTACGTTGGTGCGATCAGCGAGACGCTTTTCAGCATGATGGAGAGTTGCGAGAGCATGGACGCACCGATCAAGTTGGCGACCCTATCGGAGGAAGAGCGCAAGGCGAGCAGGACCTAGATGTACATCTTGAATGGCGTGTTCCAAGGATCGGCGAAGAGGCTCCTGATGAAGACCGAGAATCGCACAATGGCATCGAATTTACCGCCTGTTGTGCAAACGCGAGGTCCCGTCTTTCGGCTCGGTGCAGGTGGCCCAGCTCACCAACATCCTGAAGACGAAGTTCAGTGGCAGGGCAGACCAGTTCCAGGACGAGGTGGAGAAACTGGAGGCAGAGGATCGCAGGTACGAGCAGACGTACTCGGAGATCGTGGGGGCGCTCTCCTGCAGTCCATCCTGAAGAACAACCGTCCAGCCAATCTCAAGCAGCAGGTCATGCTACAGACCTTCCCGAACGACCACGCGCTGAGGAACACCCTGGTGGAGTACATGATCAGCCTGGCCTTCACCGACGGGGCGACGCCTATGGACCTATGGATGTGGGCGCTGTCAGCCCAAAGGGGTACTCGAAGGGCAGCAAGGACTCCAAGGGCAAGGTGCAAGAGCAGCAAGGACAAGGGCAAGACGAAGGGCGGCAAGAGCAAAAAGGACGGCGGTGGCGATCAGCCGGAGGCCAGCAACAGCAGGCTCAACATTTCCAGGGCTATTGCAACTACTGTTGGAACTGGGGGCGCAAGAAGTCGGAGCGCAGGAATCGGCCCAGACCGATGAAACCTGAGCCGTGGATCAGGCTGCTTCGCCAGCACGGGGCCTTAGCAGGGGGAGCTGTGGGGCCACCGCCTGCAGCTGGAGCTGCATCCGAGTCGGCGACAGCGACGAGGACCCATGCAGCGATCGACACGGACGACCCCGAGGACGGGTGGATCTTCTAGGCGTAGATGCAGAGGACGTGGCGGCGCTCCAGCCTGGAGCGCCGGTGATGGTGGACAGCGGCGCCTACTACAGCACGTGTCCCAGGAGCTTTGCACCTGGGGCGCCCTATGAGAAGATCGGTGACGAGCTCGACATCGTCACGGTGACAGGGCAGCGCATTAACATCGACGAGCACAGGACCGTGACGACCACCGGAATGAATGTGAGCGGGCAAACATACGAGCAGCGGGCAAAGTACCTCGTCGGCAACGTGCGCGGGCCCGTCCGAGCAGTCGCAGACATCATCGACAACTCAGGATACGAAATTCGCTTCGGGAAGTCCAGCTGGATGGCACCGGGGCCCACTGCCGTACCACTCGGCGCGACTATGCTGGAACGCATCGAGAACCAGTCTTTCGACACCAGCCAGTTAGCCAGCCACGAGCTGGGGGACGTGAACGTTATCCAGGATGATGCCCCCGAGGTGCCTGGAGGTGAAGAGAGCAGCGCAGTGCGAAAGACCGCCGAGACACTACGACGTCCAGAGACACCATCGCCAGAAGAGCAGGTGAATCACAAGCCCCGTGGACATGTGCCTTTTGCAGCCTGGTGCAAGTTTTGTTGTGTATCGTACGCAAGACTAGCTCAGCTTCGATTGACTTTGCTGATCGTAGTCGCCTTCGACTTTCTTGACGAGCCCAATATGACGAGCTCTGAGCAAGACCAGTGCGTGCCCTTCCTAAGCATGATGGACACTTCGTCCGACATGATCGGCGCAGTGATGGTCCGAGCCAAGGGGACCGACGAGTACAGCGTCCGGGCGCGCGTGGCCTTCCTTGAGGAGCTCGGGCACTTTCGGATCGAGGCGCAATCCGATGGCGAGCCGGCCATCACTGCGCTCATGCAGGAAGTACGAGCGGCCTGCTCGAACAAGGGGTTCATGGATTCCATCGCCATGAGGAGAAGCCCAGTACATTCCCACGCGTCTAACGGCGCGACGGAGGTCGCAGTGACGATCATCAAGGGGACCCTCAGGACCATCCTCTTAGCCTTGCAGGAGGAAAATGGTGTCAAGATCGAGCTCAGCGCGGCCATCGTGCCGTGGGCGGTCCGACACAGCGGCTACGTGTAAAACAGGTTCCAGGTTCTTCGCGGAGGTCGCACGCCGTACGAGCAGCTGAAGATGGCAAGGTTCAGCTCGGCAGTGCTAGACTTTGGGGAGTGCGTTATTGGCCAGCTCCCGCATCGGGTGGAGACCAGCCTCGACCCGCTGTGGCAGGAGGGCGTGTGGCTGGGCAGAAGTACTGTATCGGGGGACCATCTCGTCGGAACTGGTGTTGGAGTTATTCAGTGCCGAGCGGTTCGAGCCCTACCAGCAGAGCGACGATGGGACATTACCCTGTTCAGGAGCATGGTTTGGACCCCTTGGCACATCAACGAGAAGAGCGAGGTGGGCGACTTGCTGACGGCCTCAGTGGCGGGGCCGTGGACGCCGACAGAGGGTTGCAAAGCATGTGAGGAGGAAGCAGAACCCGTGCGTCGACGTGGGCGACCGCGTAATCACACACGGGCACGCCTGCAGCGACGCGCAGAGCGGCGCCGAGTTCAAGCTCAAGCTGGAGGAGATCAAGTTGCCCCTCCAGCATTATTTCCAGCTGCTTTGCGAATACCTGAACCAGCGCCAGAGCAGCAAATGTTCCCGGAAGCCCCTCCGGGGACATCTGAAACGGGAGGCGCGGCCGCATCTTCCGCCGCAGCTCCCGCAGATCAGCCAGCGTCGGCAGCATCGAGTTCGACATCTCCGAGCGGTGCCGGCACTGCTGGTGGCGACGGCGACCAGAGCAAGTCAATGGAGGCCGGTGCCAAGAGAGATCCAGATGCGCACGCGAGCGACCAGGAGGCCAGAAGGGTTCGGCTGCAGGGGAAAACCGCAGCGTCGGCCACCCGTGCGCGATCTGAGGCGGACGCCGAGGAGACGTCCAAGAGGCAGAGGGTGATCTCGGCCATCGAGCGAGAGATCGCCGAGCTCGAGCGCAACGAGGAGCCGGACGACGTTGAGTCAGAGCTGCAGGACGCCTGGGAGGATCAGCTCACCCTGGAGAAGGAGATGGAGATCAAGGGCGACGAGCTCACCAGGTTGGAGGCCTACGCCGTGTACTGGGCAGTGCCGAGGAGTAACGCGAGGATGCGTCCACTTTCATTGGTTTGGGTCATAGAGAAACGAAGCGGGGTCTGAAGGCGAGATTATGTGCTAGACCTTTTGGAAAGGCACAGACCAGAACGAAAGATCAGCTCTACACGCCGACGCTGTTCCTGGTGACAGTGAGAGCAATGCTCATCTATGCACACCTCTACAATCGCAAAGTCAAGAGATTCGATGTCCATCGCGCGTTTTCGCATACAACCATCCAAGAAGACGTGTGGATAGAGCCGCCGCCAGAGTGGCCGAACCCCAACGACGAAGTGTGGAACCTACGTTGCACCCTATATGGACTGCAGGCGGTAATTGTTGATTTCGCCACCCACTTCGACAACATCGTCTAGGGGCAAGCGACCTTCGACGGCTACCCGGTCATGAGCATGAAGAGGTGCGTCTCGGACCCAGCGGCATGGTACGGCGATGACGTCAAAATGGTCAAGCAAGTCGATGATGGGATCGTCGTGGCCGAAGAGGAGCCCATGGAGGAGTTTCTGCACGACCTCCAGAAGTATTTCCAGCTGAAGATCAACGAGTACTTGGAGGTTGGCGTGACGCAGAAGTACCTGGGCGGTCTCATCACGCGTTGTTCTACCGGTTTCTTCCAGCAGCGCCACCTCAACACTGCGAGTCACTGTTCGATGTGGGGGCTTGAGAATGGGAGTGCGGTCGTGACCCCGGGAGACAAGAGTGACTTCAAGCGCGAGGGCGAGAATGAGTTGCCCCACGACGAGATGAGGCTGTTCAGGCGTGCCC